AACAGGAAGTTGGAGGAAATTTCCCAATGTCAGGGGAAGTCTCTTCCACCTCTAGCAGTACTAGGAGCCAATCAGTTCATGTCCTGATAAGAAGCATAGTGATAGGAGGAGAGAGCAGAGTGACAGGGAGATGAGCTCATCGCAGTGCTGCTTATCCTTTCACTGTCCAGGCACAGGAAGTGGTTGAATGACCGTGCCCATTTTCCGAAAAAGTCCAGTACAGTGTATCTCCGCTGTGAAGCTGAATATTGCTGGTTTGGGTATGGAGTCTTTTAACTGCCTCCAGCCTGTCATTGTTCTGGGAGGAGGTCATATGATGTCCTCCCATCTTTAGTTGCACATGCATGCCCCAGGGGAACGCGTTGCAATGATCGGTGCACTTTGTCCATTCACAGCTGATCATAAAAAGGAAATGCCGGGTAATGGCAGTCCTCTCCTCATGCTGACCGTGCTCTGATGATCAGTGTAGCCCCATAATTGCCACCTGTCAGTGCGCATCAATGCCACATACCAGTGCCGATCTATGCATCCTCATCAGTGTAGCCTATCCCTGCCCATCAGTGCAGCCTCATTAGCGCCCATCAGTGAAGGAGAAAAATTACTTATTTACAAAATTTTATAACAAACTAAAACTTTTTTTTTTTTTCAAAATTTTCAGTCTGTTTATTTTAGTTTGTTTAGCAAAAAATAAAAAACCCCAGTGGTGATTAAATGCCACCAAAAGAAAGCTCTATCTGTCTCAAGACAATGATACAAATTTAGTTTGGGTACAGTGTTGCATGACCGCACAATTGTCATTCAAAGTTCAACAGCGCTGAAAGCTGAAAATTTGGTCTAGGCAGGAAGGGGAGAAAAGTGCCCAGTAGGCAAGTGGTTAAAGACCAACTCCAGACAAAATACGAACCCCTCTGACCCACCCCAATCTATCCCCCCCCCCCCCCCCCGCCTTCTGAAGTCGGGTATATACCTGCTTAAAGAGGAGCTCCAGTCTTACTTGGCATCTTAAAGTGGTCTTTAAGGTCATTTTTCTTTAAAATAAAAAAAAAAAAAACAAAAAAAAACAAACATGTTATACTTACCTCTGAAGTGGTTTTGCACAGAGAAGCGCCAATCCTCATCTTCTTAGATCCCCCCACTGGGGCTCCTGGCTCCTTCTCGCTGCCGAGTACGCCCAAAGCACACAGGTTGCTATGGGAGCACCCAAGCAGGCTCGCTCCTGAGCTGCTGCTCTGTATGTCCATTCACACGCATAGGTGCAGCTCGGGGCCCCCCCCTTCTCATTGGCTTACTGTGCTGTCTCAGCTAATGAGGAGAGAGAGTCCCCAGAGAGCTGAGACTCATGGCTGGATTGCGATGGGGATCAGGTAAGTATTGAGGGGGAGCTGCACACAGATGGTGGTTTTTTTTTTTTTTTTTTTTTTTTAACCTTCGTGCATGAAGGAAATAAACCTTGAGCCTCTACATCCACTTGACGTAAAGGAAACTGGCATTGAAGCCTTGTGGCTTCACAGCCAGTCTGCATTACACATGCATGAGCCATGCTGCACTTTGTGAATGGTCCAGTCTTCTGGGACCTGTGATGTGTCCCAGAATGCTGCAGGGGAAAAATCCAACTTTGGCGATCTGAGCTAAAGTGGGAGCAGGTGGTTTTTTTTTTTTTTTTTTTTTTTTTTTTTTTTACACAAAAACAGGTACCCTCTCCCCTTGCTGTTTTACATTATATAATATGTAAAAGTGCAGTGCTAAAATCAAATATCATATACAGTCAATTGATACATATCATAAATCGTGGTCATACATGTGCTAATAATAAACAAAAATATTTATATTATATATAAAAGTCATAAGTGAAGTGTCCATAGCTAGATAGAGGTCTATCTATCTGTTGTACCTATCTATCCATTCAGTTGTATCCGACCCTTGGCGATTGCATGGACCTTCACTCGTATGTGACTTTTTCCATGAATTCTCTTAGCAATTATTTTACAGGGTAGGTTGCCAGGTCTTTCCCCAACCCCTACCATGCAGGAGATGCCGCATGGCCAGGGATGAAACTAGGACAATTTAGACAGGAGCCAATTAACCTACCAGCATGTCTTTGGAGTGTAGGAGGAAACCAGAGTACCTGGAGGAAACCCACGCAAGCACAGGGAGAACATGCAAACTCCATGCAGGAGGCGCCATGGTTGGGAATTGAACCCATGACCCATTTACTGCACGGCAGATGTGCTAACCACTAAGCCACTGTGATATACAGTGGGGCAAAAAAGTATTTAGTCAGCCACCAATTGTGCAAGTTCTCCCACTTAAAAAGATGAGAGGCCTGTAATTGGCATCATAGGTAGACCTCAACTATGAGAGACAAAATGAGAAACAAAATCCAGACAATCACATTGGCTGATTTGGAAAGAATTTATTTGCAAATTGTGGAAAAGAAGTATTTGGTCACCTACAAACAAGCAAGATTTCTGGCTCTCACAGACCTGGACCTTCTTCTTTAAGAGGCTCCTCTGTCCTGCACTCATTACCTGTATCAATGGCACCTGTTTGAACTTGTTATCAGTATAAAAGACACCTGTCCACAACCTCAAACAGTCACACTCCAAACTCCACTATGGTGAAGACCAAAGAGCTGTCGAAGGACACCAGAAACAAAATTGTAGACCTGCACCAGGCTGGGAAGACTGAATCTGCAATAGGCAAGCAGCTTGGTGTGAACAAATCAACTGTGGGAGCAATAATTAGAAAATGGAAGACATACAAGACCACTGATAATCTCCCTCGATCTGGGGCTCCACGCAAGATCTCACCCCGTGGGGTCAAAATGATCACAAGAACGGTGAGCAAAAATCCCAGGACCACACAGGGGGACCTAGTGAATGACCTGCAGAGAGCTGGGACCTATGTAATAAAAGCTACCATCAGTAACACACTACGCCGCCAGGGACTCAGATCCTGCAGTGCCAGACGTGTCCCCCTGCTTAAGCCAGTACATGTCCGGGCCTGTCTGAAGTTTGCTAGAGAGCATGTGGATGATCCAGAAGAGGATTGGGAGAATGTCATATGGTCAGATGAAACCAAAATAGAACTATTTGGTAGAAACACAACTCGTCGTGTTTGGATTAGAGAGAATGCTGAGTTGCATCCAAAGAACACCATACCTACTGTGAAGCATGGGGGTGGCAACATCATGCTTTGGGGCTGTTTCTCTGCAAATGGACCAGGACGACTGATCCATGTACAGGACAGAATGAATGGGGCCATGTATCGTGAGATTTTGAGTGCAAACCTTCCATCAGCAAGGGCATTGAAGATGAAACGTGGCTGGGTCTTCCAACATGACAATGATCCCAAACATACCGCCCGGGCAACGAAGGAGTGGCTTCGTAAGAAGCATTTCAAGGTCCTGGAGTGGCCTAGCCAGTCTCCAGATCTCAACCCCATAGAAAACCTTTGGAGGGAGTTGAAAGTCCGTGTTGCCCAGCGACAGCCCCAAAACATCACTTCTCTAGAGGAGATCTGCATGGAGGAATGGGCCAACATACCAGCAACAGAGTGTGCCAACCTTGTGAAGACTTACAGGAAACGTTTGACCTCTGTCATTGCCAACAAAGGATATATATAACAAAGTAATGAGATTAACTTTTCATATTGACCAAATACTTATTTTCCACCATAATTTGCGAATAAATTTCTTTCCAAATCAACCAATGTGATTGTCTGGATTTTGTTTCTCATTTTGTCTCTCTCATAGTTGAGGTCTACCTATGATGCCAATTACAGGCCTCTCTCATCTTTTTTTAAGTGGGAGAACTTGCACAATTGGTGGCTGACTAAGTGTGTGTGTGTGTGTGTGGTGTGTGTGTGTGTGTGGTTTTAGAGCGACAAAAAAAGAATGTGGATGGCATCAATGTAACGCCGGCAAAAGCACAACTCAGGCCAATCCCTCAGATAAATTATGTCTTGCCATGAATAAATTTGCCAAACTAGGGGCAAATTTAGCTCCCATGGCTACTCCCTAGTTTGCAGATAGAATAGCTTATCAAACCAAAACTTTTATTTGTTCAGCGCTCCCTTTTATCTACTTATTATGTTACATTATATGTCACAATCGACAGACATCCTCTTCCTGAATGTACAGCCCATGCTTGGATAAAGCGAGATATAGGATCCTACACATTTCAGGTATAAAAGAACAAATACTAGCTAAGCTTCCAGACAGACTGATCAGTATCCTATAATCTGCTGTATCCAGCAAATGATGCCTGGTCCACACTTTCTCACCTGTATGTATATTTGTTGGTTTGGGGAAATTCTACAACCCTTGGAAATATCACTGGATGTAAAGATGCCAAGGAGGATGTCAACCTGGCAGTCTGGGTGCCCAGTGCAGCTTCTGATAGATGATGGGAGTGTTAGAAACAAGCTTGTGCATCGAGAAGGGAAGATTCGACTGAGAATGGTTTGCAAAGAGTTACATGTCGACAGTAAGCAAGTACATTCTGTGCATCTTGACTTTTTTTTTTTTTTTTTTTTTTTCCTGAGCAGGAGAAACTCTGTCTTTAGTGGAAAACCCACCCATAGACTTTCATGACTTTCTGATCAGGGCTTTGAAAAACTTTAAAGGCAAACTTGATCAAAAGGTCCATATGAAAAGACCCTAAGGTGCTGATGCATTTTCCTAAATGGACCTTTACGGGCCTCCGACTTATAGTGGCTGAAATATTGCATTGTGCTACCCTGACGCAAGTGTCCTGAGGTTATTTTGTATAGGTATCATGCTGCTGTCTCTCTGAGAAAGCTTTTACTGTGCCAGCAATATGTGAATTTCAATAAACATTCATTGGTGGTGAATCCATCAGTGTAATTTAAAATGCATTCATCAGCAAAATTTATCAGCAGTGAATGTTTGGTGAAGACACATTCACTGCCTTTATAAATGTATACCTTAATTCTCTAAAAATTAAAATGTTTGTTTTGCTGACTTTTCTAGCAACAACATGTTGTATCCAAAAGAAGACAAAGAAAATCGTATCCTGCTGTATGCGGTAAGAATATTTTTGGAGACATTTAGCCAGATTATCCCTAAATTAAAAAATGAAAAAAAGACTGACATAAAACTTTGTTGTTCATGCGATATTGTGACTGCTTGCATTTAGTTTTTGTGATTAGCACAGGAGGGATCCCAGAAACTGTGGTCATGAACATCTGTCATTAATATGTAGTGTACAGGAACTTCCTCCATGCAGTTTTCACTTGTCCCTTGGAACCCCCGAATGCAGGCCATCAGTAAAATTGCAAAATTGAAGGAGGTTGACCCACCCCTTCCACCAATTCTTATTGGTCCGTGAGTCCACCCAACATAGTGATGGGCCTAGCAAAAGGTATGCAATAAAGTATAACTAAAGGCAAAAGTGTGTGTTTTTTTTTTTTGGGTGGGGCAGAGAGGGTTTTAGAACACCTAGTTTAATAAGTTTTTATTGCTGTTTGTCCCTGTCAGGGAGATTCACCCTCTGTTTGGTCCTGGTTACCATTGTCACTGACGGTGAATCTCAAATTTTGGGTTGCCACCAGAACAGGAATAGAGTGGAAATCTTCAAATGGAGACGCTAGTTCTAGAGGGATTTTCTCTCACCACTGTTTCTGCTATGAGGCAGAAAGTGAATGGAAATCTCCCCAATGCAAGAAAGAACATACGAACACGCACACTGGGTGACGTGAAGAAAGTTTTACTGGTCTGAATTACAGGAGTAAATGTTTGTTTCTGTTTGTGCTTTCCTTTTTTGAGACTGAAAATTGCCTGGTTTTCATGTTGATGCTTTGAGTTGCTATCCTGAAAAAAGGAAAGAGATGGAGAATACATGCTTTCTCCACCTTTTCATTTTCACCATGATTACAGGTGGGTGACTTAGAAATATGAAGCCAACCCCAGCCAGGTACCTATCATTTTTAAAAGGCCGGCAATGAAAACTCCCATATTTCTTATTTGACAGACTTATTTTGTGGTTGCATCTGTTTTTTTTTAATATTTGAGTGAAATGTTTGATCATGCAGTAAGTACATGAAGGATAAACCGTTCAACACTGTCAACAAACAGGTGTAGTTTAACCACCTCCTGCCCACCATATAGTCCAATGACGGGCACAAGGTGGTTCTCTTATTCTGGGAGGACATCATATGACGTCCTCCCATTCTCCCCGCGCATGCATGCGCAGCTCATGGAGCGTGCGGCGATCGGCGGTGCGCTGTGTCCCTCGGACACAGCGGATCACCGATGACGGAAAGAGCCGAAGATGTCGGCTCGGTCGTGATCAGCTGTGTCCATTCACAGCTGATCACATGTAAACAGGGAAATGCCGGTTATCGGCATTTCTCTCCTCTCGAGCTGTCACGCTGACAGCTCAAGAGGAGAGCCGGTAATCTGCATTCCGCAGAGGGGACATGTGCCCTGATGATCAGTGTAGCCCCAGCAGTGCCACCTGTCAGTGCCACATCAATGCCACATATCAGTGCTGCCTTTCAGTGCCCATCAGTGGCTATCAGTGCCCACCACTGCAGCCTCATTAGCGTATATCGGTGAAGGAGAAAAATCACTTATTTACAAAATTTTATAACAAAAACTAAAACTTTTTTTTCCCAACATTTTCTGTGGTTTTTGGTTTAAGAAAAAATAAAAAAAACCCAGAGGTGATTAAATACCACCAAAAGAAAGCTCTATCTGTCACAAAAATGATAAACATTTCATATGGGTACAGTGTTGCATGACCGCACAATTGTCATTTAAAGTGCGACAGTGCTGAAAGCTAGAAATTAGCCTGGGCAGGAAGGGGGTATAAAGTGCCCTGTAGGCTAGTGGTTAAACCAACTTTTTGCTTCTTTTTTCCCCTCTAATGGTATTTTATGTCAGAATTGGTGGCCCAATAAGTCATTGTGATCAAACCCTTTATTCCATAGCAGTAATTTACCCTTCTAGGAAATGGAGGTGGATCTGTTTAATTACAGTTGTGCTCAAAAGCTTGCATACCCTTGGAGAATTGGTAAAATACAGTACCATTTTTAAATAAAACATGAGTGAACAGGCAAAACACATTTCTTTATCTCTTATGGGGTTCATAGTCAGCTGCAGGACATAACAGAATGGGAAAATCCTAAAACAAAACATGGTAACAAGTAAACAATTGAAATGATCCCTGTTCAAAAGTCTGCATACTCTTAGTTCTTTAATATGGCGTATTGCCCCCTTTAGCATCAATGACAGCGTGCAGTCTTTTGTAATAGTTGTCTGAGGTCCCACATTCTTGTAGGTGCTATATCTGCCCATTCATTTTTGGCAAAATGCCTTCAGGCCATGAAGTCTTTTTGTCATCTTGCATGACCCTCACATTTGAGATCTCCCCAGAATGGCTTAATGATATTAGTCAGGAGACTGTGATGGCCACTCCAGAACCTTCACCTTTTTATGCTGTAACTAATGGAGACTCATCTTTAACTTGTGCTTAGTGTCATGCTGGAAAGTCCAAGAGGTCACATGCGCAGCTTTCACTCAGAAGAATGCAAATTGCCAGTATTTTCGGCTAACCTGCTGCATTCATCTTGCCAGCAATTTTCACAAGATTTCCTGTGCCTTTACAGCTCACACCCCCCCTCCCCCAAAAACATCAGTGAGCCATCTCAATGCTTCACAGTGGGGATGGTATTCTTGTTGCTGTGTGTCATGTTGACTCCTCTCCAAACATGGCGCTTATGGTTGTGACCATTCAGCTCTATTTTGGTCTAGTCACTCCAGATTACAGTGTGCCTGAAGCTGTGAGGTGTGAAGATGGCATGTTATAACTGGGCTTTGTGGGATCGGTGTAGTAAAGGCTTCTTTCTGGCAACTCGACCATTCAGCTCATTTTTGTTCAACCACACTTTTTCCAGAGCAGCCTGTATTTCTCCTGAAGTTACCTGTGGGTTTTTCTTTGTATCCCAAACAATTCTTCTGGTAGTTGTGGCTGCAATCTTTCTTGGTCTACCTGACTTTGGCTTGGTATCAAGAGATCCTTGAATTTTCAACTTCTTTAGAAGTGATTGAACAGTACTGACTGGCATATTCATTCATATAGCATATTAAAATATTTTTATATCCTTTTCCATATTTATAAAGTCCCATTACCTTGTTATGCAGGTCTTTTGAAAGTTGTTCTGCTCCCCATGGCTCAGTATCTATCCTGCTCAGTGCACCCATGTGAGCGCTAACAAACTCATTAACTATTTATACACTCACTAATTGAAATTAAAAAGCCACAGATGTGGGAAATTTTAACTTTATTTGCCATTTTATCCTGTGTGTGCCTGTACCAATGCCAAACATTCCAGGGTTTGTAGACTTTTTTGATAATGGGCATTTGGGCAATTTCTGTTATGATTTAAAAAGGAGCCAAACAATGTATGTGACCATAAATTGCTTCATATGATCACTATCCTTAAATAAAAGACTGTTTGTTTGTTTGTTTGTTTGTTTTTTGTTTGTTTTTTTTTTTTAGCATGATCAGTCATATATTTTCAATATCCGTGCCAGAATTTCATGATTTCTGCCAGGGTACGCAAACTTTTGAGCACAATATCTGACCACGGGGTGGTTTTGTTTTTTTTGTTTTTTTTTTGTTTTTGTTTTTTTTTTCCTCGAAACACAACTTCTTGTCATTTTATTTTTACCCCCTTTGCAGTGTCGAAACTGTGACTACCAGCAGGAGGCTGATAATTGCTGCATTTATGTCAATAAAATCACACATGAAGTAGAGTGAGTATTCTCCATTATTTTGTATTACTCTGTTGTGCTTCATATATACACTGTCTACAGTTATATGGCGCAACTGGAAAGCAGTTTTATAGGTTCACTTCTAATCGAACATGAAAATAGTGTGTCTAAACATAAAGCCTACCCACTGACTAGCTCATTCTGCCATTTATCTGCTTAGGACCAGGAGGAGGAAAAGTGTAGTCTAACTAAGCATCTGACACTCCTGAAAGTGTTGACGGTGGAAGAATATTGCTGTATATTTTTACAAATACATAGCATATAGATACAGCGGATAAAATAAGTATTGAACATGTAACCATTTTTATCAGTAAATATATTTCTAAAGGTGCTATTGACATGAAATTTTCAGCACATGTTGGTAACAACCCAAGCAATCCATACATACAAAGAAACCAAAACAAATGCGTTCAGCAATGAAATTATGTGTGATAAAATGGAATGACACAGGGAAAAGGTATTGAACACATGAAGAAAGGGAGGTGCAAAAAGTCATGGAAAGCCAAGACACCAGCTGAAATCTATCAGTAATTGTGAAGCAAGACCTTCACAACCTTATTGTTGCAAAACATACTGATTACATGGGCTACAGAAAAGATTTCTAAACTTCTGAATGTTCCAGTAAATACTGTTGGGCCATAATCCAGAAGTGGAAAGAACATAATTTCACCATAAAACCGGCCATGATTCTTGCAAAATTTCTGACTGAGGAGTGAAAAAAAATTATCAGAGTTTCCCAAGAGCCACTTGTGGAGAGCTTCTTTTTCAAAGAAAACAAAGTAATGCACTCAGCCACCATGGCATATATGCACGCTCACCACACAAGACTCCATTGCATGATGAAAAAGCATGTTAAAGCTCATTTAAAGCTTGCTGCATAACATTTAGACAAGCCTGTGAAATACTGGGAGAATATAGTCTGGTCAGATGAAACCACAATTGAACTTTTGGATGCCATAATACACACCATGTTTGGCGGTCAAATTGCAATGCAAATCACCCCAAAAACACCATCCCAACAGTAAAGTTTGGAGGTGGGAACATCATAGCGTGTGGTTGTTTTTCAGCATACAGTACTGTCAAATTTCATATCACTGAAGGAAAGATGAATGGAAAAATGTACCAAGACATTCTTGCTAAAAATCTGCTGCCATCTATCAGGATGAAGATGAAACTATCGCGGACATTTCAGCAAGACAATGGGGTTTATTTACCAAAGCTGGATCACTCAGAATCTAGTGCAGCTGTGCATGGTAGCCAATCAGTTTCTAACCTCAGCTTGTTCAGTCAGCTTCAAGGTTGTATTGCTAAAGCTTAATTGGTTTCCACACAGAAGTGCATGAGATTGCATGAACCACCTTTCGTAAATAAACCCCAATGACTCCAAACACAAAGCCAAGGAAACTGTCAGCTGGTTTCAAAGAGAGAAAATAAAGCTGCTAGAATGGCCCAGCTAATCACCTGACTTTGAATTCAGTAGAAAATCTATGGAAAAAACTAAAGATCAGAGTTCATATAGGTCCACAGAACCTTTAGGAGTTAAAGACTGTGTGGAAGAATGGGCCCAAATCACACCTGAGCAATGCATGCGACTAATTTCTCCACAGAGGAGGCGTCTTGAAGCGGTCATTACCAACAAAGGATTTGTTACGAAGTATTAAATACATTTCAGTTAACATGTTCAATACTGTGGTGTGTGGGTTTTTTTTTTTTTTTTTTTTTTTTTTTTTTTTTTTTTCCCCCGTTATCCCATTTGCATGGGTTGTTACGTGGTGAAAATTTCATGTCAATAGCACCTTTAGAAATCTCTACATAGAAAAATGGTAACTTGTTCAATACTTATTTTACCTGCTACTTGTCAAGCACAGCAATAGTAAGTCATAATTTCATGCGTTTTTTTTTTTTTTTTTTTTTTTTTTTTTTTCCCCCTTGTGAGATGACTGCAATCTGATAGGTGGTGATAGTCACTTTTGGGCGGAAAGGACTACCTCCAAGGTATCCTGCTATTTGAGTTGGGAACTAATTTTTGTGGGGGGTGTATTGGTATGATGTCACATATGCAGATATTTGCAAAAAATAACAAAAAACCCTCCTGTATTTAGCCTGAAATTTAAAAACTGTATAATTTTTATTTTTCGTGGCTAGTTCAGTTGTGTAAGACCTTGGGTCCCTGCTGATTAATTACCCGGTAATTACTTGCCTGGTAATTACTGAGCATCTGCATCGGGGAGGAAGATTGTTTACTCAAGGACACTGCTTGGGATGGCTGTGCACAGTAGTCATCCCGATCAGTGTGCTTTCAGAAAAGAACACTCCCAGCACACAGTTAACCCTTTGATCGCCCCTCACATTAACCCATTCCTGCCCAGTGCCATTAGTACAGTGTCAGTACTTTTTTTTTTTTTTTTCTTTCTTTCTTTCTTTCTTTTTAGCACTGATCACTGAATTTGTGTCACTGGGGTCAGTTACAATAAGCTCCTCCAGTCTGCCACAGTCCTGCTAAAAAGTGGCTGATTGGCGCCATTACTAGTAGAGAAAAAAAATCCCATTATCTGTACCGCAATTTGTAATTGCTATAACTTTCACGTAAACCAATTCATTTACACGTATTAGGATTTCTATTTTAGCAAAGACATGTCACAGAATAAATGTTGACCTAAATTTTATGGTTTTTTTTTTTCTCTCCTCAAAACTGTTCTTTGCTTATAGCGCAGAAAATAAGTAATGCACAGGTGATCAAATACCACTGAAAGGTCAATTTTTGGGAAAGACATAATTTCATTTGGGTGCAGCGTTGCATGACCATGCAATTGTCAAAGTATAGCAGCGCCATAACTCAAAGAATGGCCTGCTCATGAAGGGGGGTAAATCCTCAGGAGGGCAAGTGGTTAATAAAGATCCTTAAATAGCCAAGTTAGAGTGTTTAGTTTTCTCAGCACAGTTTTTTTTTTTGTTTTGCTGCTTGGGGACTCTATCTACAGTAGCAAGTTTTTTTGTTTTTTTTTTCTCCTTCCTGTCTCTGACCCTCAGATCATCACTTCCTACCTCCTCCCCTCTATTCCACAATTATGCCGACAACAATCTACACTCCTAGCACTCACCCCTTTCTGCTGCACTTGCCGGTCCTGCCACAAAAATGTCTCCCGCTGTTACCTGTCACCTCAACAATCTACAATTTGGCCACACACTTGCCCTCACATAACCTGCCACCCTGCACCCCCCCCCAACCCTGTTTTGCATCTTTGCTGGAGCACTGTCATTTTGCCATTGTAATGTACAGGGCAGATATGATGCTTTGCAAGTTATTCTTCTGTGTTTTGTTTCTTAAACTTCTGTCATTGCTCTAGAAACAGACCGCAGAACCTCTTGCAGTGCTATCACATACTTTGCCTTCCACTGGTGACAGTCTTCAGCATACCCTTTGATCTCCCATCCTGCACAAATTTGCACCTGTCATCCCAAGTTTCCACCATTCTGGAATGTTCACACATTTCCTAGTTCTAATGCAGCATATGTTTTGAATTTGTTCTCCAGTGAACTGACTCAGATCATTGCAGATGTATCTCAGGACCCCACACTGCCCCGTACAGAGGATCATCCCTGTTCAAAGTAAGTGCCCTTACCCAGCAGAACTCGCATCTCTTGCCTGCCTTTTTATTCAATATAGTGTGTAATAAATGTCTCTTTTACAGATGTGGACATAAAGAAGCGGTGTTCTTCCAGTCTCACAGTGCGAGAGCTGAGGTATCTTTTTGGTGAAGTTTTTTTTTTTTTTTTTTTTTTTTTTTTTTTTTTTTTTTTTTTTTTTTTTTTTTTTTTTTTTTTTAGTTGCCACATTTTATTCTCTGGAAGATCACTGCACTTTTCTAACAAGACCTCAATATACCTTTTTCTCCTAAAGCTGGTGTCACCTTTGTTCAGGCATTATCTTATAGCTGCATTTACTTCCTCCACAGAGATGCTGGCCCAGGGATGATTAAATTGTATATTCCAGTGCATATACACAGTCATAGGCAAGGGGAACTTTTAAAATGGGTGAAAAAAGGATTGTTGCTTTCACTTCGCAGGATGGTTTACATACAAAGCTTCAAAAAGCTAAGCAAACATTTACTTTGTAAAGGTGAATTAGCTCTGCTCCCATAGTAAATCAGCCCTGGTGTGTTAGGACATTTTCTTCAATATCGACTATTTTAGCCATCTCCTTTTCTGCTAATAGTTTAGAAATGCTTGCGGCTTTATCTATGAATGTCAATAAAACCTTATGTTTACATAATCATCCTGTCATCTGAAAATGTGTAATGTACCTGTTCAGGAAAAACATCCTAATAACTGTTGCAATAGAAAGGAGCTTTTTGTGCGTGGTGTGTTTTTTGGTTTTGTTTTTGTTTTTTTTCATTTGTTTTTTTTTTTTTTTTTTTTTAATCACACTGCACTTTAATTCTCTTAGGATGCCATGAGATTGTATTATGTCTGCACTGCTCCACACTGTGGTCATCGCTGGACTGAGTGACCTCCTCCCTGAAGATTTATTTTCCTTGTGTGTTTTTTTTTTTTTTATTGTTCAATAAATGTACATTTTGTTTTATCTTAATTCAGCAAGTGTCTGTTCTTCTGTATGGACAAACGGTGACTTGCCAACATCAATAAATTCACACCTATTTATTTTTTTGTAAGAAATAAATATAGCAGTATGTTTTAAATATAACAATGTTCCATCGATCTTTCTTCTGGTTTCATCTTTCAAATGCAAGCTTTTTTTCATCTATTCTCAGGCTTTCCTTTTCTAGGGTGGCTATATTTGTTCTTGTCCACCTTGCTTGCCCTCAATATGGGCTACACATCTATGTGCAGACACATTCAGCTCTCTGGGAGTTGTATGCATAGAGTGGAGCAATTGACCAGAAATGTTAAGCACTGCTAGCTCTAAACGGATAGCTGTAAGATGCACCAATGGAGGATAGGGATCATGCACAGGACAAGAAAACATTGACATTCTTTAACAGCAAAAAATAGTCGTTTAGTTGACAATTTAGTACAATCGTTAAAAAAAAAAAAACAAGTTTAGTTTTACCTTTCGCCTAATGTTCTCTCCACATTCATTCCGTTTTCTACTGCCTCCTATTTCCTGCTTTTATCTACTGCTCTGCTATTCACATTGAGTCCACATGCATTCATGCTTATGCATGAAAGTGGTTGGCCTTTACACCTGGACTTTAACAACATGTATTGGTTCTGTTTTACACACATGAATGGTCTTGCAGCACTGAATTATTGGTACCATTCAATGCCTTCATAACAGCATCCTAAGGCTTCCACAGTGTAGTTGGGTTTCCGTACTGAATGAAATGTTGCTTGATATTGTTTCAGGATAGTTCTTTCACTTCTTGGAACATTAGGATCCCTTTTTTAGGGCCAGTTCACACCACATGTAGTCCAATGCATTTTTAATCTGCATCAAAAATGCTTGGATAATAATGAACATTGATTCCAATGGCATAGTTCACACTAGTGCAGTCAACAAATGAAGAATATGCATTTTTATTTTTTTTCTTTATAGCATGAATCTGGAACATGGTAAAACACATTGGAACTCATCTAAATGCAATAGAATGCACATGTCCCTAATTGAAATGAAAGAGGAAATAAAAGCTACAGAATTCATCCGGATCGCAGAAATGTGGTTCAAACTGGCCCTTTAGGGTTTATTCAAACCAGGTGTATTTTATGTGTTTTTTTTGTTTTTTGTTTTTTTTTTAAGTTTAGGAAACCTACTTATTCCTTGAAGGGCTGATTGATTTTAAAATCCAAAGCTTTAGCAATGGTGGGGAAGCATGAAACAAAAGATCAAAGGTTATCATCTGATTCTTGAATTATTACATTTAGATATTTCTACAGATAAATGTGATGTTGTGTGGGATCATGTCCAGTGTAGTAAAAACAAATTGCATGACAATTGATTTGTGTAATTTTCAACTTTAGTTGGTCTCGGCACAGGCTTACTTTGCAACACATACATGCACGAGACCTTATGATACACCTAGGTCGTTTCTCCCCCTATTCCACCATTGCACCAAGCCATAGGTTGGTGTTGTGTTTATGGGTGCCATAGGACACACTGCAAATGTCAGCTAACAACATTTTGTTAGTCAAACCATTTTTTTTTCCAAAGGAGTGGCACTACAATGCCCTGTGGTAGAGCAGGTTAAATGCAGTGCACCACTGCAAAAAGGCCTTAAATAGTGGACCTTGCAAAGCTAAGCATTAAAGTGGAACTTGAATCAGAAAATTGCTGTTAGATCACGTCATGTTGAACCCTTTTGCAGGTATAGCTATGTAAAACATTAAAATTAAGTGCCTATACTTTTTAAATTCCAGTACACTCACACTGCTTTACACTTGCTCAGTTGCCATTTATTTTTGTGGTACTGCTGAAAATGTAAAGGCCAATCTGCTGACGGTCTAAAGATTTACTGCTGCGCAGGGCTCCAGCAAAATAGCAGCCATCCAGCAAGAAGAAACAGAAGCAATGCTGGATGCAATTTACAGCACACACTAACTTTGGTAGCATAATTATTGTAGAATGTATGTTCCTTGATAAAGACCTTGACAAGAATTTGACTGTGATACTGCTGTTTAATTTTTTTTTTATCAAATACAATTTAAAAAAAGCAGTAAAAAAATGGCTTCACATCCAGGGTTGATGACTCTGTAAGCCATGTTGTGTGGTGTTTTTTTTTTTTTTTTTTTTTTTCTTTTCGTTTTTGTTTGGGGTAGGGATGGGAGCTAGGCATTCAGTGGATCTTGCCTTTTTGCTCATTTGAAAGTTAAGCCCTAAGTGACAGCAAGACTTTATGGAAAATACCTTTTTCAGCTTTGGCTTTCTTTAACCAGCACAAATATTTTTTATTTTTTTTTAATTTGCTGTTTTATTTCTATGCTGGACAAGGACAATTATGCCCAAATCTGTTGCAATTGTAAAAAGGATAATGCATATAGCCAGCATAACAGGCTTCTAGCCATAAGAGGTTAACACACTGCAAATCTCAGCTAACAACATTTGTTAATCAAATAAGTCAGGGGCAACGGGACAGTCAAATGAATCCAGAGCAGCAACTAATGACATCCCGTTAATTCCAGCATTGAGTTGAACACAATACATGCAAAGATTATGTACACAGCCAGCTAATGTCCCCCTCAATCTCAATTTGGAAAACAAGTAATCGGATACAAACATGCAAGGGGGGTAACTTATCAATACAGTATAAGCACCAGCTTCTCAAAATGAACTGTACCATCACAATGTCCCTCTCTCCCTCTTGTGTGTCTGTCTGCTAGTTTTGCATGGGGAGGAAGAGCCGTTTTCTCTATGTATGTTAGAAGAGGAGCTCAGCTTCATATGCAAAATGTTGGGACATTCAAATTATTCGGAACAAATAAAGGACCCTGCATAGTTTGTCATCTCTCTTTATATAGGCTGTATTCTTACGAGCATCTCCACACTGATTCAACACAGCCAGGTGAGTTCTGCTCATAGGTTACTCACAGGTGCTATAAATATATTGCTCATAACTTATTTCAGTCTGTATATTTAACAAAAAGGTATCCGTGTTTGGAAGAACTCTGTTGTATCAACAAAGTATATACCAACATGCTTGAAAGCATCTCTTATACATGTATCAAACTGTTTTGGAAAAGATTGTTTCTTTAAAAAATTACTACCATTTTATTCTTTAAAGAAAGGCAAAGCATTCAGAAAATGATGGTTGCTGCAGGAGTTTGCAGATTGTGTGATTACTAGCCGTTTTTGACGAAAGATTGAGATCTGATCATTGATTTTACATCCTAGCACGTTTGTTGTTAACCAAAGACATACCCTTCTAGCTTTTGAGATCAGCAACCAAATTACATATTTTCACAATACCAGATATCCTAAGCAGCAAAAAAAATGTAATTCTATATTTTTACTGCTATGGGGCCCCAACAATACAGAGGACCCAGCATAGTGTGGTTGCATTAAGATATTTCCCATCTGCACAAATATTTACACAGTGGGGGAAAAAAGAGAAATTGTATTTTTAGTTCAGGCTCTTATAACTAATTTTCATGAAAAAATAGTATTCTAAAGTTTTAGTTACTTTATAATAGAACAGTTTAAATAGTGAGATTGACATGACATGGAAAGTCCATTTTTTACCATAATGGTTTTCTATAGAGTCTTGTTGTTTATATCTATTTCAATACTTTAAAGCAGCCTTTCTCAACTAGCGGTCCTCCAGAGATTGCTAGTGGTTCCTTGCACAATTTTGCTATCATTGAGGATGAGATTCTTCCCAATGACCACACGTGTAAGGAGCATTCTTACCACTGATCTTTACACTAATGTACTGTCAGCTGCTGTAGATATAGTCATTATTTAAAAGGGTTCCCTAAGACCTGAAAATTATTTCAAGGGTTCCTCCACATGAAAAAGGTTAAGAAAGGCTGCTTTAAAGTAGAGCTGGTCTCCTAAAGGTTTCTGTTATCTACTCTAGGTACCCCATAAATACTCAATGTTGTACCCCAAGTCATCCACTTTCTGCAACAATTGCACTCTGCCCAATTACGAAACAAACTATGGAAGCTTACATTTCTGAGTCCTTTTTTGAATTTAGAATACTATGACTCCTCTGCTGCTAACAGGCTACAAATACCAGTATTAGGAGTTGCTACTTTCAGATATTCTGGAGTTTTCAGAGCTACACTAACTAAGCAAGCACTATACAGCTAACGGGTGTTTGGTGCAGTAAGAAGCATTTAACGTGATGCATTCTTCAGGTTTATGATCCATATTGTATCCCTCTTTTAAAAATGCAAGTCCTGTTCTGTAGTCAAGATTTAGAAGTTGCACAGCTGACGAGTTTTCAGGACTTCTGTTAGCCGGGCCACTGATTCTTCAAGCTCCCAACATCATCCCTTTTCTTCTACCATAAGAAGTAATGTACTTCAATGGCCAGGTGCCTTGGGGTCATGGCCAGTGAACAGGGGCACGTGTGCTAAGCATGATGTTTCAGGCCGTGCAATTAGGGGACACTTAGGCAATGGAACTGAGTGCAAAATGCCTCCCTTCAGCACCTTTGTGTACGAGCCATAAAGGTGTCCATAGATGGCTAATTATCTGCAGAGAAATATACTTTGCCAATGCTTTACGCAGAAAAATCCGCTTATAACGTGAAGTCAAAAGAGCTATGGGCGTCTGAGGGTTATATGGGTAGTTGTATATGGCTTTCATTGGATAATGTATGTTATTTGCATAATGCTGATTGGCATATAAATCAAATAGATGTTTCTATCTTTTCTATCACCAGTTAGTGGGCAGGTCAGTTGAAGCTTAGGTTAATTACAGGCCACATTGAGAACAAGAAGAGTTAGGATTTTATTTGTTTTTGTTAAATTGAGTCTCTGCACAACTTCATCACTTGATAATTACTGACACCAGGGCTATGCCTCGCTCATTCTTGGTAAGGAGAAATC